AAAAAGTTCCTGGAGCACAGAATAGTGGTGGGAGAACCAAGTTATCACCAGGTACAGAAGAATCTTTGCTGGAAGTATGTGTCATCACCACATCCCAAGCAGCAGCCATTTCTTTTCAGCAAGCAACTGCTGCCACCAACCAGGTTAAATAAATGTTGTTAACTTAAGTTTTATTGACTTTGTAGATGTTTGTATTGACTTGTAAATTTAGTTTATAGTTGTAACGAGCCTATGAAGAAAAGCCATTTTATGTTTATACATATTTGAGAAACACTACAATAAAAAATAAATGAGGTCAACCCTGAAGGTCTATGAGGAATGTTGTTTCATAGAAGGGTTCTGTCTATTACTTTTCTTAAGAAACACTGGATAAACATTTTCCACAATATATGCCCGATCCTGTGGAAAATTGGGACATGGCTTTTTTTAGCCAAGAAAATTAACCATTTCTCTGAGAAGCAAAACCGAACTGTCTACTGATAAAGTTGCCGCCTATGGAATATAGGTTGTTTCTCTCTCAGTTACAACCGGCAGAGTTAAAGCTTCAAGGAGGGGCACTGACTTTGAGGCACGCTGTAGATTATCGGGCAGTTGATCTTGTTTTCAGAGCTCCAGAGGGCTAGCCAGTGGGAAGAGGTTACTGAGATGTGGACTTTGCTTGGTTCACTGTCAGAAAGAGTTTTCTGCCTAAGAACAAGCGGTCTCTAGACTTTATCGAGAAGAAATGGGATAATTACCTGGACAGGTCAGTGGGTATCCAAAGGGAGGGTGGATTAGATGATATATTGGTCCTGGAGCAATATGAGCTCCCGACCATTTGTTAAGGAAGCTGATAACTAGCTAGGCCTGGCAGTCTTCCATGTTCTGCAGCTATCAGCAGCATCAATGATCCCTGCCTGGCTTTCCTAGTTCCTCAACTTGGCTCTTTGTGCTTGGGCCGTGCTGGGAGCCCGTGGTGATAGGCAGCAGATGAAGTCAACCTGAGAGCCGCAATGCATGATCCAGCCATCAGCTGGAGCCTCTTTAGAGAAATAACACTGGATTCCACAAATATGCCAAGATCCGTATTTGTCAATAGGCATAGACTCCATTTCATGACTGCCAAGGCTTTAGGGGTGGGGAGGCCCAATACATTGTGCCTATTTACTTCTCTCAAGTATAAACTTTAAAGACTAAAGATCATGATATTCATCATGCACTTACTCAATGTTAGCTCCTTCTCTCGCTCCCTCCTTCTCACCATCCTTCCCTCCCAAGAAGTCTTAAAAAGCAAACCACAGGATATGTGCCTACATATATTTGTTGAACTGAAATGGACCTCTAGAGTTTGGGGCCCACCATCAAGCCCCATATGCAGGTCTAGGAAACTTGCCTGGTAAGTGAGAAAGCAGAGTGGCGAAGAGACTAGTATTTGTGATTAAGGAAAGAGAAAGGGGCAGCTAATTAGGAGCTGATGATCTGCCAGCCAGACTCCTGATCCGGAGCTCAAATCAAAACAAGAGGCTGAAACGCTGGCAGTGAATGGGGGTCGCAATCTGAGTCTGACCACCTGGCCGTTCCCAGACTTCATAGGCCACCTGGTTCCCTGAGCAGGCTCCAGGTACCCTCCAAACCCATCCCCACCCTGGCCACCTGTCACTCAGCCTGTCTCAGAGCCCCACTCGCAAGTAAAGTGGAAGAGAAACAGCATGTGCAAATCATGGACAACCCCCTCACTGCACAGCTACGGGCTCCCAGCCCTTTGTGAAACAGGGATACCATTCAAGAATGGTGGGAAAAAATAGCAGATGAAAATAAGTGGCTTCAGAAACCCAAGTGAAAAGGCTTGGAGTGGCTGAAGATGGTGGCTTCAGGCCCAAACTGTGCTTTCCCAGTCTTTTCTATTTCTTTTCTAGCCACCGGAATAAGTATAAAGAACACATTGGAGAAATAACACATATAGATTCAAAGACATCAGCTTTAGTGGCTTGGACATGTATCAGGAATACCATCTGTAATATTTTTTTGGCATATAAATTGAGGGAAAAAAAATAGAGAAAATAGAAATAACCACCAGACAGAAGAATGGGGAGTGCCAGGGTGAGGTGAAAAGAGGGAGCCATAGCAGCAAAGGTTGTCAGAACTCAGCTGTCTCTACAGCATCCACTTGTGGCAGTTGAGCGTGAGAGGCAGTAGACTGATCTGTCACTTCTCAAACTACACATGGTGCTGGCTTTCAACATCTGCTAAAGAAATGTGAGATTTCCATGAACCCCAGGCTTGGAGCTTGCTGCCCAGTCTTGGGCAGAGATGTAGGTCTCTGGAACTTCTAAATTCCCACGAAGGACTGGGACCCAAGGCTCCCCTAGGGCACTGCTTCTCTTTTTCTCTCTTCTCTCTCTGGCTTTATTAATTCTTCTTCTTTGCCTTGGCCCTTGGCCTGCCACTCCCACTGCCTTCAGACCTACTGGGACCCTGAAGGGCAAAGAGGATGCTGACTGGGAATACTGGCCTCATTCTCTGGCCAGTCTCTCCAGGTAGCCTTGACTTTGGGAGGAAGACCAGGTGAGTGTAACAGCTGCTGCCAATATGAAGGGACAGACCAGGCCTCCTGGATGCTGAACCAAGGGCTGGAGCCAAGACTTGGAGCATGTGTACTGGTGCCTGGAGGCAAAAATCCTCCGTCCTGTGAACCAGCTCCCCTGCCTCTCTCCCCAAACAAGGAAACCACCCAAACATCATGCTCTGCTGCTGCGTGAGACCGAAGGAGTGCTTCTCTGGTAAGTTCTGGGACACTTCCTACTGCTGCATTTTAGGGGTGCAGCCTTAAAATACAAGTGAACCCAAAGTGTCATGAGCATGCTGACCACTTCAGGTGTGGACTCCCATTCAATCAGCATGGACATGGGTTTGGACCTTGTGGGAGAACACAGCAGGTCTTTTGGCCCATTTCCTGTAGGAGGAAGGATTCCAGTGAGAACCTCACTGGGATTTGGGCTCAGAATATTAGCTAATGGTAAAAGAAGATGGTTTTCTTTGAACTTCTACTTTAAGACCCACACAGGAAAAAAATAAAAATAAAATTTAAAAAAATGACACGCACAGGAGGGGGAATGGCTCAGTCAGGGCAGGACTCCTCCCCTAGCACCACCTGTGATATTATCTCAGTGTTTCCCTGGACCCCACATGGGATCCTGCAGATCTTGAGCTCTTTTCACTTCACAGTTACTCTGACACTCTGATATTTAAGTCTGACAAATGCATTACCAAATAGCAGCATTTCCCATCAATGTGCTTGTAGAACCCAAAAGAAAAATGGCAACCGATAAGTGTATCTGTATGTCGCGTGACACCAAACAAGATGGGCCTTCTTGACCTCCTTGAAGTAAAGAGGCACAGGGCTGTCATAGCCATGCATCCTTGACAGAAAGCCCTGAGTCTTTTCAGATTCCACTTTTCCAGGAACAGAAGGGGCAGATGCTGCCACCACAGGCTCCTTGGTCTCCAAGGGTGGGAGCTGCTGCCTGACAGCAGGAGTGGTGGATTAGTATAGCTCAGCCAGATCACCCCAACCCTCTTTTTCCTTACAGGTCTGCACCAGCTTGACTGTCCTAATCCTGGGTCAATGGGGGTTAATAATAAAGTGCCAAATGTCAAATTCATCCTGCTTTGGGGTGGGAGTAGCGAGGAGGTGAGTGTAAGGGCAGGTTGGCTTTGTTTCAGCTGCAGGCTGTGAGGGCTTCTGCCTTTAATAAGTCCAAATCCAAGCCAAAGGAGCCTCTGCCATGTTCCAGGAACTCCTTTGGGTTCTGGAGAAATCAAGAAGCAAACAAGGCTGCTTTGGGAAGTGCTCACATGTATTTATTTCACAAGGGGGGAGATGGTGCGGGGGTGACCACCAACAGGATGCCACCCATGAGACACTGTGAACTCCCAACTATAGGTTTTGGTTCTGGGCAGGGCTTGACCTGTGGGGACAGCACTAGGGGGTGATATGAGAAGTGGCAGAAGGGACAGCCTTCCATCTGGGGGACCATTTGGGGTAAGGCCGAACCACATCCTCCTGGCCAGCAAAGCATGGCCACTCCCACGCCAAGCTTCTTAGCAGCCTTGATCTGATCCAGGCGAGCAATGAAGGGGCAAGCCCAAGGCTACACACATCTGCTCTACCACACACTCAGACACACATGACACGTGGTGTCACACATGCACACACACACATGCAGCCACACACACCCTGCCAAGCACACCACACAGGCACACATACTCATATGCATGCACATGAGTCCATATATTAACTCTGATTTATAAGTGCACCCTAACCAGAGGGCAATTGGAAAAAAATTATTACTCTTCAGAGAGGAATCAACTGCCTTCTCCCCTGTCAGCCAGCAGAGCATGGGCTGAAATGAAATGAGCACAGAGCATCCTCGAGGGTCCTGGCTCCCTTTGCTGTGTTGGCTCCAGTCCTTAAGCTCCAGGTGGAGGCCCCTTGCTGCTCCCCTGCGGCAGCGTCTGTAAGTCAGGGCTCCCTGTTACCCAGGCAGGCAGAGCTGCACTGGCCTGCCTCTAGCTTTGGGGCCCCTCATAACTCTGACTAGCCTGTGTGTTCAGTCTATTCCTGTTTCAGCTCCCTTCAGATAGAGGCAGAAGAGCTTCCCCTTTGCCCAGGCAACCATGGAAGTGTCAGATCCTTATAAGCCATCTTAGGGAGGGTCCAAAAAACTGCAGAGCTATAGCCGCCAAAGCCACCTGATGGACAGGTGTGGGTGGAGGCTGTCTTGGGTTGTGAATGAATATCTGGACAGAAGCAACCTCAGGGGAAATTGAGTCTCTGGGCCTTGATGCCTCCTCTGAGGAGGGGGAGCTAGGATGTGGCTGAACTCCACCCCTACACTTTGTTGAGGGCTAGAGTGGAATTCAGAAGCTGTTGCTGCAAGAGAGAGATGAGAAAGGAGAGAGGCCCCTGCCAGTCCCAGTCCTGACAGTGGGTGGAAAGATGACAAAGAGGAGATGTGCATGTTTTTCTCCTTGGTACCAGATCCACACCCAGGCTGCAGAAGAAATGGCTTCTGGGGTCTCAGAGAAGAGTAAGAGGGTACTTTTCCAGGGTACATGAGCCTCATGGCAGCTGACTGCCTGATGTGGGCACAAAGTCTCCATCAGGGGCCCCTGTACTGCCCTGGAGAAGCCCAGGAGTCCCACGAGCTCCTGCTGGCTCCGCTGTCTCTCCACCAGTGTGGCTGATCTGGAGGACAGGCAGACCCTGCCCCAGGGGCCAGGCTCCAGGGTCCCCAGCTCCTCCTACTACTTGATGGAGTTCTTAATTGTCCACCTCTGTCCTGTGCAGCTGCGGAGGATGAGGTCAATGCCAGCCAGGCCATGGTTCTCCACCTCCAGGCAGCGCCCCGTGCCCTTATTCATGATGGCTCCATTCTGGGAGGAGACAGAGGTAAAAAGAGGAGAAACAGACAGAGAGGGAGGGAGAGAGGGAGAGAGAGAGGGAGAGATTGAGAGAGATTGAGAGAGAGAGACAGAGACAGAGAGACAGAGAGACAGAGAGAGAGACTTAACCACCGTAGTGCCTACCACATGGACTCTCATGGGGAATAATCCCATTAAAATTCTTTGCGCAGGGAGAAGGGTCATTGGGACCACCTCTGGAAACCCTAAAGTCAGAACATAAATAAGCTTCACCAAATTTAAGTGGCTGAACCAGGTGATGAACATTGGTGGGGGATGGTGTCAGAATGGGGAATTTCCAGGGATATTCCTAATCCTACTGGCTATAGGTACTTAGCAGATTTCTGGAAAATCACCTTCACACTCCCTGCCCCAAGATTTATCAGAGATTCAACCAGCCTAGTGCTGCTGTAGAGATCTAAAATGCTGTCTCCCATGGAAACACCCCCATTGGTTCCCCCCAAATATTCTGAGTCCATGCACCTGGTCCAGGGCTGGCAGACCTTTGGTGCACTTTGCTGGGTACCCTTGGGGAAGCCAAACTGCCCTGTGGCCTGCAGCATCCTCACCGGCTCAGGGGTGCTAGTCCTGTCCATGAAGCACTTACTTGGATGAAGTTCCAGCGCTTGTACAGGCTGCTCTTGACCTTGTCACAGTCAAGGAGCTGGGGTAACCGACTCTTAGAGTTGTCCACCAAGCAGCGGGTGTCAGGGAGGAGTGTGGTAGTCCCCAGGGCTCCCAAGTGCAGAAAGCCTTCCTTGGTGTATCGGGCGAGCTGGAGAGAGAGCAGAGCAGCAGGGGAGCAGGAGCCGATGTAGGGGTGACACCATGAAGGGAAACAGAGCTCAGATCTGCAAATTTCACTCATGCCTCTGTCATTGCTGCAGTCCTAGCCATCATCTCAGGCCTATCACACCTCCCGCCCCAACCCAACTCACAGGTGAGCCCTCCCCAGGAGGCCCTCCCCTCTGGCTTGCTAAGCGGGAATGCAGGCTCCTCAGGGCCACTGTCTGATTTTTCCTTAAGCACTCAGTGTTTCAGGAGTCTAGCCTTCTGTCCCGCAACACAGGGGGTGGGGATAGGGCGGGGGGAGGAATAAGCGAAAGAGAAGGACAGCTGATTTCTGCTTGGCTCTGCTTTCACCTGGCTGGGCCACCTTGAATAATCAGCCTCTCGGAGCCTCTGTTTCCTCCTCATTTGTAAATTGGGATTAATTAAATCTACCCTGCTTCAAAAGGCCCAAAGAGGCAGTGCTTGAAAGAAGAAACAGACATATTAAAAAGCATTAAACCTCACAGGTATTAAAATAAATAAACTAAAACTGCAATGAGATACAACATATTAAAAAAGAACTTCTTCCCATTGTGCCAAGGTTAGCATAAGATATAGTGGAGGGAGCATAAAGTACTACAACCTTGCAAAAAGGGGATTTCAAAATACATATGTAGTGCTTTAAAAATGTTTCTCTCCTTTGACTTAATAAATCCACTTTTAGAAATCTATCCCAAGGAAATAATCAGAACTACGAACAAAGTTTACATATGGGCTATTTATTGCAACATTATTTATAATGATGAAAAAGCAGAAATATCTTAAATGTGCAACACAGTACTGGTGCTTGCTTTCTGCTCCATGTACGGCAAGGAGTGCTAGGAGATTGTGGTAGAATGTGAGAACAGCCACATTCCTTTACTCATCCTTCTAAACACCACCTGTAACATGACTGCAGCAATTTCCATCAGGTGTAGTCTATTTCCCCACCCCTCGATATTGGTGACTTGCTTTGGCCAACAAAGCGTGGCAAAAGCAAGGATGTGCTTGTTCCTGGGTTAGACCTTTCATACTTCCACCATCTTGGAACCACCATGGCCATAAGCTCAGGGTGTCCTGCTAGCAGATGAGACACATGTGGTCCAACCACCTGACAAGTGGATGAGGTTATCCGAGATGAGGTAGCCCACGTCAACCTGCTAGATGATAAGAAGTTCATGAATGAATCCAGCCAAAATCAGCTGAGCCTGGTCCAGATCACAGAACCATCCAGCTGGCCTATATACTCATCAGCAATAATAAATGCATATTGTTTTATGCCACTGAATTTTGGGGTAGTTGTTATGCAGCAATGGCTAACTGATACAGAAATGGTGTTGTGCACCAACATTTCCCCAAAGGGCCTGCACGATTTCAGTGGCCTCCCCTCTTTTGCCTGTCATGTTGTTTAAAAATCTGTATTCCAACTTTTGAACAAATTCGTTCACCTGTCATTCACACTCCTTTAGGGTCAGGGACTGTGTCTAATTTATTTCATTCCTTGCTAGGAGAGAAGTCACAAACCAAGTGCTCAAAACATGTTTGCGGATGAGCAAATTGTGAATGTGGTAAACGTCACCCTTTAAAAAAATTGCAACATTATTTATAATAATGAAAAAGCAGGAACATCTTAAATGTGCAACACAGTACTGGTGCTTGCTTTCTGCTCCATGTATTTCTTTAAACTTGCAGCCCCATCTATTTCTTTAAACTTTACAAGCATCTTTTGAGGAATCCCTCTGCATACCCAGCCTGAGGACAGGCTTCTGGGAATATAAGGATGGGGATGTGTTCCCACTGAGATGATTCCAGTGTAGGCAGTAAGGGCAATGAGAGAGGCAAGCATGATCTTCATGTTTGTTCTTACAATTGTAAGTGATGACTGGGGTGGGAGTGACAATCATTAATATACAGGTGGTTCCTAATAAATTTTTTAAAAATTACCAGCTTGCACATATCAAAGGCATACGCTGCATCATTTCTTAGCATTGTGCAGAGGATAAACAGTGAGATTTTCATAACAACCCTGTGAGATAGGTGCTATTACTCTACCCATTACGAAGATGAGGAAACAGGCATCTGGTCACCTGATTGGGTCCTGGCCTCTCTCCTTGGTCCCTCGAGACCCAGTGGTTGGTGGCCCTGGCCCAGCAGGCGCACCGCAGATGGACCTCCTCCCAAGTGCCTGGGCAACTCTGGTCAGGGATGGAGCAGGAGGGCAGTTCTGCTTAGGGACATGAGTGCCTTTTCTCCAGGGGTTAAGATTTTCTGCAGGGGCTCTTGTCTACTGGCAGAAGCTACTCAGAAACCCTCTTCTCTGATCCCCAAAGGGGGGCCCGCCTGGTCTCCCCCTGAATCAAGTGACAGAGCTTATTAAGTGCCCTTGAGAGATATGCGGTTAACATGTGCTTTAAACCCAAATTAGTTCCAAATCAGAGTAATTGTTAGAGGCAAAATGATAAGAAAATCAGAAACCCTCCCCATGCCTCCCTAAACAATGTCTCTGAACATATTTAAATTCACCAAATGCAAAGTGATGAATGACAGCAAGCTGCCTTTATGTTCGGGGAAAGATATACACAGCTGCTTATTGAAATTATGAATCAATCTATTATCCAGCAGGCAAACGAGAAGCACTAAGAACATTAATTAACTGAATTATCTGTGACCCAGATGTTTAAAGACTGAAGCTAAATGCCACTGGGAGTTAGAGTCTCTTCTTTCTGAAGTCTGTCAGGACGTGAAAACAATGAGACCCAGACTACTAGGACTTGCAAAGGCCACACGCCAGCCCCAAGCCATGCGGGCACCAGGTGGGCAGGGCGGGTGAGGGGAGCCTGCAAGATTTCTGCTCTGGGGGAAGGCTGTTTCTCGCATCAAAATACAAGGCCACCTGTATAGGCTCTGCTGGCCTGGTCAAAGGGCCAGGGTTAGGGGAACAGTGCTGTGGTCTGAAAGGACCATGGGGCTTAAGTTAGGCCAACAGAGCTCACAGTTGCTTCTCCCCAACAAGGCAGCTGGGTGCCATGTGCTGGGACCTAACGTGAACCACATCCCCCTTTTTGCTCCAGTCCTGGATTAGGAGTCTGCCTAGTCCTCTGCCTACAACGCCCCCACCATGTTCCCTCCTTAAGGACCTCTGCTCCCTGCCCTCTGCATGTCCAACAGACTTGCCTGCCTTCAGAGTT